GACCCGCGACCAAAGCCAAAGGAGATGTTTCCGACCTTCCCATCCAAGGCAGGCATGGAGAGGCGAAGGCGTCGTGAGACTCCAGAAGCGCCGAAGCGCGGACAGGAAGCTCCGGCCTTGGACTTTGCCAGTGTATTCGGTGGTCAATCCAGTGGCGATACCGGGGAAACCGGCGCTGGCTTTACCTTACGTCTGGGTTAGCCTTTCATGCTACTAAGTGCGAGGTTTCGGGAGACATGAGTAAGGCAAGACCAGCCTTCGTGTCTTGGGCACACAACTGAAGGAGTCTGTTTTTTTGATTTCCTATGAACAGAAACATCTTGCGGTAGGCATCTATCAGAAAGAGGCTCTGCATACATTATTTGTACAAATGAGTGTCATTTCCAACCTGTGCCCATTCAACCCAGCGATCCTTACCGCGGGCGCTTGAGACATAGGTATACAAGGCCCATTAACAATACAGAGACAATGAAAATGGCGCAAATAGCGCATTCCGATTCCAGCTTCTTCCGTTGTGCGGTCGTGTAACCCACGTATGATCCGGACATTATGGAAATTGACGTCGTTCCCATATGGGGTAAGTAACGATACACTCATCAGTGGAATCGCTTGCGTCTCGTTCGAGACTCGGCAGGTTACCCCGACGCGAAGCGTACATACCTGGTCCGACAATCTCCGGGATCTCCTGTGTTCTGACTGACATGTTACGGTCGAGTCCCGGACCACTGTAAATTCTACCGTCTCTGGCAATTCGGCTTCCTGTTTTTATAGGATTGTCTCCTCGATCAGGGGGGATATCACTCGATTTGCCGTCGACAAAGAAGAACTCGTCTCTGAAAATCAGTGAGGCGAGTGCGTCATCGATCTCAATTGGTGACCGGACGACATCTGAGTCCGACGTGCCATCTTCGGTCTGGCTTGGAGAGGGTGGTCTTCGAGCCGCGCACGGGTCAGAACTGTTTTGGATTCCAAGGAAATCAGTGTCGTCCAAAGCGGGCAGCAGGCAGCTCGCAGTTTCCTCTTCCTGCGAGCTCGATCTCGCTTCTGATGGTTCCTATGATTTCGTCAATGACGAGCGGGTAACCTTAAAAGTGATACTAACCGTGATGAATGCACCAGCATGAGCTAGCTGCGTCTCTCCTGCGTTCGAGGGTCTAGACTGCTGAGGCTCTGTCTCGGTTGGTTCATTTCCATCCTCGGAATGGTCGCCTGGAGCATGGTGAACTGCCCGTGGCATGAGATCGTTTTCTGCAACGTCGCTGCAACATAAGGTTTGACCGCCGCTGCTGCATTCTCTTGACGACGCAAACAGTTCAAGCGTTCCCATCATCAATTGGACGGCTGGTATCTGACGAAACGTTGATTCACGAGAGCTAACAAAGGATGACCTAGACGGGGAACGGCTAGAGACATATACACAAGCGATTGAGTCAGTTGAACCAGAAGTGATGGGTGCTAGAGCGATCTCGTGGCCTCGAGTTGATTCATTGGGTTCTCGCTCATTTGGATTGAGCAACTCTTCAGGAGGACCCTCAGTGGCGGTCGGCTTCTCAGGGTTGATAACTGGCGAATGGGATGGAACAGGGCTCGAATGATGGGCCTGCGAGCATAAATCTTTCATACAGTCCTCGCTCGGCTGCGAATTCATGGGAGTTTTCCGGGATGGTGCCTTCGACGTTTCTGATGATGCTGTGTGTACCGTCGTCGCTTCTATTTCGCTAAGCTCAATGAGGCTGACAGATAGCGAATTGGAAATGGCATGAGTCGAGGTTTGGACGAATGTACTTGATCCATCGGGGGTGTGACCGTGGTGCTCGGTCTCGGTGATGTGCTCTCGAGGGAACCCCACCGTCGTTGCTGTCTTTGACGTACCATCCACCCCTGCTTCTGACATACCGTTGACTCCTCTCGTTTCCTGTGCGGCTAGGGAGCTCCTCAAACCAGTGCCCTCTAAGCCCCCGCCGACGGTACAAGGCAACGGCGATGTGGAAGGTACAGTGTTATGATTGTGATCTTTCAGAGCTTCACTTGAGGAGGAATGGTTTCGAGTTGTTCGATAGAGACCGGTGCCGAACTCGTGATCGTCTTCTGTGCTAGCGTCCGACACTGACGACGGAAAATGATCAGATGAGTCCTCTGTAGAGTCTCTCGAGGACCAAATACTAGGTATATCACTTCTTCGAGCGTGGCCGCCTGGAAGCGGTCGTCTTTGCATTCCAGAACGAAGGGCCAGAAGACCTGATCGCGCTTTGCGGAGTGACCTTCTCGGCAAATCCTGCATCCAGCTAACTGAATTCTGGGTTCTAGATGCTTGGGATCGGTAGTAATCACTTTGCAGCCACGAAGATGCGGACGCTGCAGGGTTGTGTCGAGGGTCGCGTGGGTTGAAGACGGGATAATGGGCTAATTCCTCACAAGATGCAGGTGGAGTGGCTGGTCTCTCGGTCCTAGAATCATCTTGTCAGTATGAACTCCTCTCGCCATTGTGGAATTGAGAAGTACCTATTTCTGCTCCTCAAGGGTGAGCGAAGAGCCAGTGAGGAAGACAATGTCTGTTTGCCGATGCTCAGGTCCTCCGAAGTCATCTTCTTGGATATCGACACTAGCAGCGGTTCCTCAGCTCAGTCTGGTCCTTGCGCGTGCTAGACAGGAAGAAGAGTTGCGTGACTTTTGATACGTCAGAGGAGTAGGTTGATTGAGAAGGATACACAATGTCTGGAATAAAATCCGGTAAATGCACCAGTTACTAAGTGATAGGATGGGAGAAACACAAGAGATCACCAAACAGAATCCATAGCTCCAGTGGCGAATGCAGGGTATCAGATAGTTAGAGATTTTGTCAATGTTGGACAGAAGAAAGGAGCCACTGGGGGCTGCAGCTTCCATATTCACTGCGATTAAAGAATACATTGCGCCTGCTGGAAGAGGAAGTTGTGAAGTCTTAGATTCGCATTAGCCAGTTAAAAGACTGATACAAACTGTTGTATGCCCATAGGACCCCTCTAAATGTCTAAGATATATTTGTGGCAGGATTTGCCAATTGTCTATTAATATCGCAAGAGATTAGGTGGATCATTGATGCCGCTGAAGCTGATGTGCAGGGACACTACTACGGACTACGGAGTACTTTGGTGTTGCTCTGCGCCGGCTAGCTGCACCCAGAAGCAATAAGCTCTGAAAATCTCACACCTTAATTATGGGCCATCTTCCTCATCCTCTTTACCTATCTACAACAGCCTCTAATTGAAAAGAGCCTGCATCGCTACTTAAAAAGAGTTTATATTCTATCCTGACATATCTCTTCTCGCGTCACCTTGTCCGTTTACGTCCTGTTCCTAGCACACCGTTCTCGTCATGGCCGCCAGCCAAGGAGGTGTCTCCTTCGATGCCATCATCCAAGCGGGTAAGGCGTCCAATACGTCTCAGAATCATCGTCGGAATTGTGCCTTTCTGATTGCATCCTGATCATTTAGATCGCAAAAAGAGAAAGAATGAAGAACTCGCGAGTAAAATCCTTGGTAAAAGCAGAAAGACTGTCGCCGCAGGCGCGGGAGCTGGAAGCAAGTCTCAGAAAGCGAAGCCAGGGAGTCTCGCCAGTCGAATTGGTGTCGTAAAGGTACTGTGGAAAACGCACCTTCATAGTATTTAGCGCACAGTCAAGACTAACATTAGATTACTGTACTATCAGCCTTCCGCATCAGCTACATCGAAAAGTACGAAGAATCATCGCACACAGTCAGCGCCGGTACGAGCAGCGAACTCGCAACCAAAACGCGCCAGCAAACGTCGCCCAGACGAGGAGCGCCTTCTTTCAGCGCTCAATCCAGCGAGCGGACAATCAACGGTGCGCGGCAATCCTGTTGGTATAACTATTCGAGGAGCAGGGTCGGGATCTTTCGTCGTGATTGGGAGCAATTTTGCTCCAGGCACCACAGCAGCGGACATCCACTCTGCTATCGAACCGTTATCAGGACAGATATTGAACTGTTGGGTCACCTCGCAGCATCCTACTGTCACGGCGGAAATCACATTCGCCGACAAATGGTCCGCAGAAAACGCCATCGCCAACTTCCACAACCAAAGGGTGATACTCCCAACTGAACGTTACAATTCCTTTTCACTGGCTGACAAACTCAAAAGGCTGACGGCAGAATTTTGTCCATGCGGTTCAAGCACTCCACGGCCGAACCAACACCTTCTCAGCACGTACAGAATCCTCAGTCCTCATTCAGCAATCTACGAGAGCAAGCGGATCGCGAGCGTCGTCTAAACCGGAAAGCGGAACCTGCCGTGCAGGATGGAAGATACGGTTTCGCTGAAGGAGATGACCTATTGCTTTCTCAGGAGGATTCTCGAGGCAATGGCCGTTACAACAGGCGCAATGCGAGAGGCAACCGAGCGTACGGACGAGCTGGCAGACAAACAAACCAGAATACGCAAGAGACTGGACTTTATAGCGATCAAATGATGGTTGATGCACCCACACGGAACTCCGGTCATAGGGGTGGACGACACCGATGAACTAGCGCGTTGCGCTCAAAATGGCCGGGCCATGCTATCACCAAATCTCTTGCTTTTTTGGTTTCCTTCGATGGGAAATCATGTCCTCTTCCGCACCAGCCCATTGCTAAGTACTAAGTACACCAGGGATTTTTCTTTTCAGAAATCAGGCTTTCGGGTGCACGCTCTGCGAGCAATTTATACTGTCGATCCTGACGATAAGACGCAATAATGTCGGATAATCACTGTAAATTAATGCTCAATTGATAAGATAACATCACGTGTTCCGAAACTTTATTGCGGAGAAATTGGAGCTATGAACATCGGAGGATGTGGGAATAGCTACGTAGCCTACCTGGAGCAGTCTATCTCACAAGCCCCGTCCTTCTTAAACATATCTGATCATCATTGAACATCACCCGATGCGCACGGGTCGTTGACCTTATCGAATTGAAACGCCGTCCCCAAGCGCACGTGCTTGAGAAGACCGCACCCAAAAGATGAATAGTGCGACGAAGCGTGCTTTGACCCGACATGTTCGGACATATCAGTGTCGAAACCTACGGATCGGGTCGCACCGATGCTCCTCAACATTTGATCAAAGGCAGTGGTCTACACCGCTCGCGAAAACGCTAGCGAATGCGATTAAGGTATGTGGTCATACTCTTGCGTTCAGCTTTGCGAGATATTCTTGATTTATAGCTGACAAACTGCTTGATTCTAGGTCACAGGGCCTATCCCTATCGCGGCCTTTATGCGCCAAGTTCTCACATCTCCAGAGGGTGGCTATTACACGACTCGACCTGAGGGCGGCGGCGAAGTCTTTGGAAAGAAGGGAGATTTCGTAACCTCGCCTGAAATCTCACAAGTCTTCGGGGAGTTGGTGGGTATATGGACGATCACAGAATGGATGGCCCAAGGACGGAAACGCAGCGGGGTGCAGCTCATAGAGGTCGGGCCGGGAAAGGGAACACTGATGGACGACATGTTACGTGTGAGTTATTTCATCCTCGGCAGTCGGGTTGGAATGTCTCGCTGATAGAGCTTCACGGCTAGACGTTCAGGAACTTCAAGAGCTTCGCGTCGAGTCTCGAAGCTATCTATCTGGTTGAAGCTAGTCCGACGTTGAGAGAGGTCCAGAAACAGCGTCTTTGCGGTGATGCGGCTATGGAGGAGACGGATATCGGTCACAAGAGTACCAGCAAGTATTTCAATGTTCCGGTGATCTGGGTAGAGGATATCCGATTACTGCCTCATGGTAAGACCCGCATTGAGCCTCCAGACTATTGAAGGGCCAGTTACTGAGACGGTTATGCAGAGGAAGACAAAACGCCATTCATCTTTGCCCACGAATTCTTCGATGCACTTCCAATCCACGCTTTCGAGTCCATCCCCCCGGCGCCTGAGAACCAGTCCGAACAGAGCGAGATTATGACTCCTACTGGCCCTGCGAAGCTGCACCAACCCATGAAACCCGCTAATACTCCCCAGTGGCGCGAGATCATGGTTACATTGAATCCCAAAGCAGTCGAAGAGAATCTCGAAGGCGAGCCCGAATTCAAGCTGACACTAGCCAAGGCATCGACTCCGTCTTCTCTCGTGATCCCGGAGATCTCAGAGCGGTACCGAAAGCTCAAGTCTAAGCCAGGTTCTACGATCGAAGTCAGCCCGGAAAGCCGCATATATGCGTCCGACTTTGCTCGCCGCATTGGGGGTTCGACACAGGCGCCTCGGACTGCGGGCTCGCAGAATGCGGCCGCCGCGCAGCCGAAGCGGGTACCATCTGGAGCAGCGCTGATCATGGATTACGGAACGATGTCGACCATCCCTATCAATTCGCTCCGCGGGATCCAGCATCATCGGAATGTGCCAGCACTCTCAGCGCCAGGCCAAGTCGACGTGAGTGCTGATGTTGATTTCATGGCTCTTGCGGAGGCGGCCATTGAAGCTAGTGAGGGTGTTGAGGTTCACGGACCGGTAGAGCAAGGAGATTTCCTGCAGGTCATGGGCATCGCAGAGCGGATGCAGCAACTGCTCAAGGGAGTCCAGGATGAAGAGAAGCGCAAGACGCTCGAAAGTGGGTGGAAGAGATTGGTCGAGAGGGGCGGGGGCGGCATGGGAAAGCTCTACAAGTTCATGGCCATCATTCCGGAGAATGGTGGGAGAAGGAGACCCGTTGGATTCGGTGGGACTGTTCAGATGTAACAATTGCAGTAATACCTGCGATCTTTCTGCGTACTTATGAAGACAACTGTACGATAGATGTATATATAGAAGGGGTATCCACAAGCTCTTAGCGTTTATAGACAAGTGGTCGCGTTAGAAAGCTATATAAGCATTGCGCCATCGCGTTTGCAGCGTTAGAACCCGCCATGTCCCGAAACACCCGTCCAGCGTAGCGTGGAGCTGATTCTGAATCTCACAGGCAGAGAGACGTATACCCTCTATCCGGCCGCGGTAAACCGGACCCGAGTACTGCTCGCGAGGCTTCTAAAGATCGATGGAAAGCGGTGTATATCGCAATGGGATCGCTGTTACGAGACGACCGAGCGTGTCTCAATACTCCCTCCATATATCCTCGACGTACGCCTCTGTCAGCCGGGTGTCTTTACCATATTTCTCCTGCCACTGGACAAACCCGCCCTCGAGGACATAGACCTGTTGCTTCTTGCTCTCTTCAGGACCCAATGCTGCCTCTCGTTCTCGCGCGTAGCGGAGGGCGGCTGATGGGCCGCGCTGTTGGCTCAGAGCACAGTGAAATACAACCTTTTCTTTGTCTTTGAGCGTTCGGACCAGTTCCGGCATGCGATAGTCGAGTGTTGAGCTCGGAACCCAGGTGGAGGAATGAATATGCCCGCCAATGTGGTCTGCAAGAAGAGAAATCAATTGGAAAACAGCGGAAATATGTGTAGGTGGTCTCGCATCGTACCCGAATCTCTTACGTCGATGATGGCAAGCTTGCTGGGAGAACTGGTCGAGAGAAGCAGCTCGGAGAGAGCATCCCGAGTCATGCGGGGAAGTGTTGCTATTGTGATTGAGGACATGGTCTCGTTTATGGCAGTCGGAATACTGCAGGTTGTATTGTCGATACTGCGAGCTTCCCGGCGGTCTGAACGTCTTCTAGAGAAATCAGACTCTGGCTTGTCAATTGATGTTCTCCGATGTTGAGTCGTTTCGGCTGCGGAGCATCTATAGAAATGGCCAAGTCACGTGAGTGCAGATTTCCGTCTTGAGAACGTCCGCTAGATTTCCAGCGAGATACAGCTTCACGCCGAGCACTGGTCTTTATCTTCAAGAACCAACCATATTTTCCTTCTGAGATTAGCGTTTCTACTCATTCCTCTTCATACGTATCACCCAATTTTCCCATATTGCAAAGATGGAGGCACGATCCGTGACTCGATGCCTCCGCTTGAGGCCGACAACCTCGCTATACACCACACAACCCATCGTCTTCCGCGGACAGAATGCCCTCCGATACTTCTCAACATCCAATTCCCTCTTACAAACTCGTCCCACTAGCCAGGACCAGCCAGCCTCTACGACCCCCGCGTCAACCCAGGATCAATCCAAAGTCCAAACCAGCAGCACAGCATCCAACTCCAACTCCGCCGACTTCGATCGGATCCTCAACCAACTCAACTTCAACAACAGCAACCGCGATGCCACGGAAGGCGGCCAGCCCTCCCAGCAGTCCTTCGACCCGCTTTCCCTCTCGCGCGCAGTCGGCATGGCCCCCGAGACAGACAGCTACAAACAGCCGCTCCGCCGGGTGGAGCTGAAATTGGGGCCTACGCTGGGTCGCCAGGTGCACGTGGAGCCGGAGAAGGGGGTGGATCTGACGACGGCGCTGCGCGTGCTGCAGGGGAATATCACGACGAACAAGGTGCGGGCGCAGTGGCATGCACAGAAGTTCCATGTGCGGAGGGGCCAGATGCGGAAGAACATGAGGATGGAGCGGTGGCGGAAGTTGTTCAAGTTCTCGTTTAAGGAGACTGTGAACAAGATCCAGCGTATGAGGGCGCAGGGCTGGTAAGATGTGTTGAGTGATGGTTTTTCGACGAGGCTGGTGTACAGAGAGACGGTCTGCATCAGAGCTATGGACTGGGATGAGGGAGATTAAGTGGACTTTGCGAGCGAGAGAAAGTGCTCGCGAAAAGGACTTTCCTGTCATGTATAACTATTTTCTAAACTGTTTTTCTATTTGGTATATGTCCAGAAAACAATGGGTCCGGTTGATTGGTATTCAAGAAGTTCATTTTCGTCAGAATTAGATATAGACATGAGATATACAATCATCCGCATATATTCGTGTACAACACCTCAGTCCTTCTTCCCGTATCCCCCATATCCATAACCACCACCACCAGTAGCGACCACAGAGGGAGTGCTCGCAGGCGAGTAACCCCCGTACCCATTTGTTTTACCCCCATTGCCGTACGCGATTCCAACCGACCCTTTCCCACGAGGAGTAGAAGTGCCCAAAATCCCATCACCGCGCCATCCAGCCCGTCGGCGCGCCCCATTCCGCTCCCAGTACAACGCCACAACCGCCCCGACACTCGCAGCCAGCACGAAGAAGAAAAACCTGGAAAAGAACGACGCTACGCCAGACGATCCCTCCGAATCCGGGCCCCCGGCAGGCCACCAGATCCCCTTTCCGCCTTCAACCCAGCTAACATGGAAGGTGAACGTGAGCGGCTCGCCGCGAATGACCTTCGTGCCGTGGCCGGCCGTCCAGGGATCGCGCGCCGCCTCGGAAACAGCAACAGCCGCGCCGTCCTCATCAGCGTCCTTGTCCTTCGGAACAGGGCCGTCGAACTCGGGAATCGAGTAGGCAGTGCCGGCCACAACGTACCCCGGGCTCGCATGCTTGCCCTTCCGGTTACTTTTCTTGGTCTTGCTCGACGCGGAGGCTGAGGCGATATTGTGCACGAGGACGTTCATGTCTGTCCAGATGTGTAGATGGCTGCGCTGCAGAGTGCCCTGTAGAGCGAAGGTAAGGGGTGTGTATGCCGGTCCGCCATTGTCGAGGGGGGAGAGGTCGGTGTTTTCGCTCTTCTTGGTATCAGGGGATGGGTTTGCTTGCGCGGATGGGGCGAGGGGCGCGGTGGGTACGCGACAGGCTAGTGGTACATCCGAGTGGACGTAATATTCTAGGAGGTGGTAGAGCTCGTCGGGGAGCGAGCTGATGGTGCAATTGATTGTCTCTGTCACGCCGTAGCGGAGGGCAAGCGGGAGGAAGGTCTCATTGCAGGTTGGGAAGGGAACGTATTGCAGCTTGCCGAGATTGTCCGTGATCTGTACAGTAAGAGAGTTGTTAGCCAGTGGGCATATTGAAGGACTGCGTTGTAGAGACAGGTGTCTCAGTACAGGCATGCCCAGCAACAAGCAGCAGAGACCGCGGAAAGGGGAGGCGTTACATGTTCTCCAGAGTCACTAAACAGGCAATTAGCATGTTATATTCAACGCGACCGAATMTCCTTGAGCAACATCTAGGGTGACTTACATTGTCCGGTTCAAACAGGTCACGGGCATAGGCTGTCCATAGCTGTACACAGTCCTGCCACTGGCGACATCATTCTTCCCCGCGGCCGCGACCTGCGACAAAGCAACGATTATCAATGCATAATACCGTGCTAAGAATGGCATATATGAGGATTGTCTCTGGGAATAGAACATGTTAGAGGATTTGTTGACGCCAAAGAGGCGTCTTTGAGCTTCCCTCGTGGAATGATATTCGGAGTTTGCCAGAGTGGACTGTGTGGCTGCCGCGGGATCAACAAAAAGTTACCCCCAATTCGCCGAACGATCTCCCACGGTCAATGAACCTAATTCTACTCCGTAACGCCCATCGTGAATAGATAGTCGTGATATATTTCTTTGCGATTCATATTTGGTTCCATAGATATCTATAATCTTATCTGATTCCACACGTCTGGTTCTGTTGTTACAACCCCATATATACCCGAGACATCTGAAAAGTGTTCTACGAGATGGGCACTATCTTGGGTTGATGACTTGCATTTCAATTGTGTGCTATGGAAGAAAAAAAGCGATCACTCATGAGTCGTGAAGAATTACATTTTTGTAGTTTGGTTTGACTGGACCGGCCGATGTTTGCAGCAAGATTTAAGCCAGGTTGGCCTTCTTCTTGAAGGCCAGAAGCAAGCCGCTGGTGGAAGCGTCGTGGTCACCACCTGCTCCGGCTGTCTCCAGCTCCTTCTGGATCTTCTTGGCAAGGACCTTGCCCAATTCGACACCCCACTGGTCGAAGGAGTTGATGTTCCACACGGCACCCTCGGTGAAGGTGAGGTGCTCATAATAAGCAATCAGGGCACCGAGTGTGGAGGGAGTGATCTTCTGGGCGAGGATGGAGGTGGTTGGGCGGTTACCCAGGAATGTTTTGTGAGGCACCAGGTTGTCGGGGGCGCCTTCCGTCTTGACCTGCTCGGGAGTCTTTCCGACCATCAAGGCCTCGGACTGAGCGAGGAAGTTGGAGGCCAGCATGCGCTGGTGCTTGCCGCCCTCGACGGGGTTGTGCGACTCAGCAGCCATGATGAAATCCGAAGGAATAAGCTTGGTACCCTGGTGCAGCAGCTGGAAAAAGCTGTGCTGGGCGTTGGTGGCGGGCTCACCGAACAGAATGGGGCCGGTGGTGTACTTAACGTATTCTCCGGTGCGGGTGATAGCCTTGCCGTTACTCTCCATGGAGAGTTGCTGCAGGTAGGCGGGGAAGCGATGCAGGTACTGGTCGAAAGGTGCTACGAGGTGGGTCTGGGCGCCGAAGAAGTCGCTGTACCAGACGCTCAGCAGACCACCGAGAACGGGAATGTTCTTCTCGAGGGGAGTCTCGCGGAAGTGCTTATCCATGGCGTGAGCACCAGCCAGGAATTGGTGGAAATTGTCGAAGCCGATGTAGAGGGCAACAGAGAGACCAATGGCGCTCCACACGGAGTAGCGACCGCCGACCCAGGACGCAAAACCGAACATGTTCTTCTTGTCAATACCAAACTTGGTCACCTCCTCCTCGTTGGTGGAGAGAGCGACGAAGTGCTTAGCAATGTGGGCTTCATTCTTGGCAGATTCAAGGAACCACTTCTTCGCGGAGTTTGCATTGGTGGTGGTCTCTGCAGTGGTGAATGTCTTGGAAGCAATCAGGAAAAGAGTGGTCTCGGGGTCGGAGTGCTTGAGAGCTTCGGCAATGTGGGTCCCATCGATGTTGGAGACGAAATGAAGGGTCATGTCCTCGGCACCATAAGGCTTGAGCGCCTCAGTCACCATGACAGGGCCGCTATTGGGCGTGTTAGCAATCTTTCAGCCAAAGAATTGCGCCTGGGGATAGAAGCAGCGCAAACAAGTAAGGGGTAAGTAGCAAACTTACAGATCAGAACCACCGATACCGATGTTGATGATTGTGTTGATCTTCTTGCCTGTGTAACCCTTCCATTCGCCGCTTCTAACCTGCTCCGTGAACTCCTTCATGTGCTCAAGCACGGAGTTGACGTCCTCAACGACGCTCTTGCCGTTGACCTGCATGGGCTGGTTGGTGACATTGCGCAGAGCAACGTGGTAAACGGCACGGTCCTCGGTGAAGTTGATGGGCTCGCCCTTGAACATAGCATCGCGGAGTTCCTCAACGCCGGCTTCTCTGGCGAGCTTCACCAGGAGGGCAAGGGTCTCCTCAGTGAGGAAGTTCTTGGAGAAGTCGAAGAGGATCTCGGTGTTGTCAACCGGGTTGGCGAAGGTACGGCTGAACTTCTCGAAGCGCTGTGGGTCCTTCTCGAAGTATTCCTTGAGGACAATGTTGCGTCCGAGGGTGTTGTGGTGCTCCTGGAGCTCCTTCCAGGCACCGAGTTCTGTAGCCTGCGAAAAACCAGGCATTGCGACTACTGTGTAGTTTGAGTTGATCTGTAGTAGGAGAGCTCTTGCGTCAGTGCGGGGCAGGAGATGGAGGGGTATTAAGAAGGGAATGCAGCAGATACGGGAGTCGCGTGCAAACAAATAAATTCCGTACCTAAAAGGGGAGAGAGGTATGTGAGGAGTTCAGATTCTGTCTGAGGGTATAGATATATGGAGGAGAGAAAGCAAGTTGAAGAAATTCTAGAAGCGGGAAGTACGGGAGGGCGATGATGAAGGCCGGAAAAACAGCTGGCTTGCTTGGAACCCGGTAACGTAGCTATGGCTGTCCTAGTACTACCTAAGGTACCGGTAGCAAGGGAGTATGTCGTCAATCGGCCTGTTGGGGTCCGCTTGGAGGGGCTGACGTGGGGCAGACAAATGAAAGTTAACAGAGACCAGCGCTGAATTTATCCGACTATTACTAGATACTGACCAAGAGTGATGGAAGGATACATAATTTGGAAGATGATTATATATCTTTGAGTAATAAAGTCTATTATAGTTACTCCCTGATGTTTACTCAACAATTATCAGGAGGGTTTGACTGGTGTCGAATCTCCTATGATCATCTGGACACCCCCAAGCTGGAATTACAACTCCGCAGTAACCTTGTCTACGTTGCCTGGCCTTCTTGGTAATCTAGTGCGTTCTAGACTTGGAAAAGACGATAATAATAATAGTAATAATAATAAACAATGGCAGTAAAGCAAATAGGGGATGTTGATAAGGTCTATCCGGGTGACTTGAAGATTCTGCTGCTCCTCGGAATATGTGTTATTGATGGACGACTGTACTCCGACACCAGATTCCCTGAGCAACCCCCAGGCCATTTCTCGATACTCCAAAGGCCAAAGAGCCTCTGTGTTCCAGGTGCTGTACTGTCTGTCGGTGAGTCTAATGAGCATAATCGTCAAAGTTCTGACGTGGAGTCTACCTTGTCCATAGACTCCATAGCTAGCATCCTGATGATCCCCGTGGATTCCCTTCTGGCCGGTTAAATAGATATAGGACTACGGTACAGAGGAGAAGTCTAATTCAGACAGCTTAACGTCCATAACGGCGATTTCACTCTGCTTCTGTATTATTACTGATTCAATTGGACATCCTGATCACGCTTGACAGTTACTGGTCCTG